CTTGTCAATTTCTTCACTGCTGTTGTTTTAATGTTTATAAAAATTTTCATAGTTTTCCCTTTTCTTGATCTGATGTAAAGGTGTATTAATTTTATTTGTGGTTATACTGTATTTTATTAATTTATTCCCTAGTTTAAAATAGTCTGTTTTATCTTGAAATCTTCTTGACTTCCTTGCCATTTGGAAGTTCTGTAACTATATGTTTCCCTCTTTTTGTGTTGTTATCTCAGATTCTCTATTTAAGGTCATGTAAATTTGTTTTATTTTGGATACTTCTATATTTGGATTGAATTCTGGGAGGTGTTGCTATGTATATCAATCTCAGGTTGTTGTCTGTTGTTGTTGGTTTAGTCCAAAGGACTCCCTTTAGTATTTTTTGCAAAGCTGGTCTGGTTTTTACAAATTCCTTTCATTTCTATTTATAATAACTCATACATTTTTTTGTTTCATGTCGTTGACTGCAGTCCTTACAATGTAGTATCACTATCCCACGTCTACTCCATGGTTCCCATTTCCATTCCTCCCTCTCTTCTAACCCTTCCTGACCTCTGAATTTTGCCCTTGGACAATCGCTGCCCTCTTGATCTCAATTGTTCTAAGAAGTGCACATTTTCCTGGTGCTATTGGTCACCTTACATACATGTCCAGTGTTTGGCTATAAATTGAGTCACAGGGTTATTTCAAGTTCCAGACCTGAAAGGTGACTAAGCGTCATAGTCTTGGGAGTTCCACCAGTCTCTATCCAGCCTGAACTTTTTTATGATTTTGAATTTTGTTCCACATTTTTCACCCACTCTATCCGGAACCTTCTAATATGATCCTTTTCAAACTGGTGGGTAGTGCACTATCTAGTTCTTCTGTCTCAGAGTCATGGAGGGCCTTAGTCCTTAGGACTAAATGTTTTCATGAGTCTTTGCTCCAGACACCAAGAAACCATTAGTTGTACCCTATTGTTGTTGTTAAGTGCTGTCAAGTCAGTTTCAACCCATAGCGACCCTGTATAGGGTTTCCAAGGCTGTAAATCTTTATAGGAGCAGAAAGCCTTATCTTTCACCTGTGGAACCACTGGTAGTTTCGAACCAGTGACCTTGAGGTTAGTAGCCCAACTTGTAACCACTACGCTATGGTCATTTATTAGCTTTTAAGATCCCAGTTACTACTCACCAAATTAGGATGTTGAACAATTTCTTTGTGGACTATGTTGTGCTAATTGTTTTGATCGCCCCTAAGAATATGGCCCTGAACTCGCAGGCCCAGTGACTTAATTCCTCAAGATGTCTGGTTACAAGTAAGAAATAGAGAAAGAAGTCCTTAAAGTGATCATTCAAATGGCTTCAGGACTGAGACTCAAAATTACCAAGGGATTTCATATTTTAAGTGCAAAGTTAGACTGAAGGATAATATACCCAATAACCTAGAAATCAGAATGCTTCCAGATTGCTCAAAGGGAAAACTCAGAACTGTGTTCATGTCCTGTTGCTCATACTAGCAATTCCAAGCATCTAGGATAATGAAGCTAAACAATAAAATTTTAGTGATTCTATTGAGCCTTATTGTTTTCTAAGAGAGGCTTAACTCTATAGCCCTGCCTGTTTCACCAGACAAGAATACAGATTGATACGTTGTATTATAGTGCCAACTGCATGAGGGGGTATTCTTTTATAATGGACAGGACATCTGCTAAGCATTTTCTACTTCCATTGCACACTTATCACTTCTCTATAATTAAATTATGTGTCTAGCTACATATTTCATCTGAAAAGGAATTATGTTCATGTCTTAAAGCTATATTTTTTTCTGATTTCCTTTATTTAGTTTTGGACAATTTTATGGAATGAAAATAAATCTCACTAGTTTCTATTTACAGGCCAAATGTTTTATTTGAATAACATTTGTAGTCGATACATTATAAGTTCTACAGAGTTTTCCTTTAAGTATCAATTTGGGAATGAAATGAAGAAAGCCGAAACTAAATCCTGTGTCCCAGTTAATCATTTATTATGTGTATTTCATGTTGGGTTCCTGCTTTAATGTGTGTCATCCCCACATTAAGCCTATAGGTTAGAACTCAAACTAAATAACTGATCAAATCTGAGATCAAATAATAAATGGTCAGCTTAATTGACTAGTAAATTGTTTTTAATCATTTGTTATTTTTCCTCCCCAATCCTTCAAGTACCCAGGGCCATGTATTTTGACATCCCACTGGAAAAGGGAGAGACAAGTATTATTAAAAGGCATCCACCCAGAAGACTTCAAGTAAGATGAATTTAAAAGACTTCATAAAGAATTTCTTGGATAAATGGTAACATCCCTTTTTAACTATAATCATAAAAGAGGGATATTGATAATGATGAAAATGTTAATTAGAACAATACTAAAGTGAATGCTGTCCAGGGCAAAGATAATGGTGGTGGTGGTGTGTTGTCAAATTGGTTTTGATTCATGGTGACCCTTTATAGGGCTTC